CAGACCAACACTAAGGAAATTGCACCTGAGGGCACAAGGAGAAGTGAAATCCACTCCCATTAAAAAAAATCTTGACAATGCAGACCAGGCATAGCTCTGCCTGTGCCTGCACAGCTGGGGTAAGCACAGGCTCTTGCCGCAGCTCCTGTTGGAGGCGCAGAGCAGAGCTGGCTGCTGTGCCTGGGGAAAGGACCTGCTGCTCCCTTGAAGGCCAAGGGCCTCTTGCTTCTCTCTGTCCCCAAATTGTTAGTGAGGGTGAACACGTCTGACTGCATTACGGTTAGAGACCAGCTGTGGCCGCTGCAGCCTGGGCAGAAGGTAAAAGATGCAAGATGTCAAAAAGCATTCAGTGTCAAAAAAGTTACAGGCACTTCCCTCTGCTCTTTGTAAGGGTCCCCAAGCTGGCCAAGGACACAGATGTGGCTGGACAGCCTCTCCTGCGTATCTGTCCCAGCCAACCCAGGGTTTTTACATGACTGGAGGACAAAATCCCTTGTAGAGTTTGAGCCCCAGGCCACAACAGAGCAGTGAGCCAGTTTCCTTGGGCTACAGCATCTGCCTGGACAACCCATCCAGTGCTCCAGCTGCTGCCATGGCATCCCCTGGATCTCTCCTGCCACCATGGCAGGAGTTTTTTTGCACGTCAGAGCTCAGCACAAACCCCCAATCCTTAAACAGCCTCCCGAAAGCTCTGCTTTGCCCCAGACACAGCGGCACCTCCTAAGCTCAGCAAAGGCTTCAGCAGAGTCGTTCTTCCTTTTAAGGGCTGAATATCTGAGAGAGTTTCAGAAGAAAAAAAAAAAAGTACTGGCAGTTTTCATCCCCTCTCTCACCTTCCGAAATGTGCTGCATGGATCCATAGCCCCATCCAAATCCCAGCTACTGGAGGGGGTGCAGCTGCAGGGGAGGCTCAGCGCCAGCCAGACAGTCCCTGCCCAGGGGGCACAGGGTACTCTGGAGGGGAGCTGAGGCCTGGCGCAGCTCAGTACTGTCCTCCCTCCTGCACAGCCACAGGCTGCATCAATCCCAGGACACATGGTCAGGTCTGATGCCATCAGACTCAGAGCGATACAGCGGCACCGCACTCTGACAGTGACTGCATCCCACCTCAACACACTCATAACCAGACTTTGTCTTCAACAAGCAGGATTTACATGGGAAAACCTCAATTTTAGCAATGTCCTAGAGAGTAAATACTTCACGGCTGCTTAGGTGAAGGAATTACAGGACAACCTGTGAGTTCAGCAACAACTGACCACCACGGCTGGGACATATCCTGCCCTCCCTCCATCCCCTGGTGCTGCCCCACCAAGGCAACCCAAGACCAGCCCCAGGGCAGCAGCCTGACACGTTCCCATCACCCCCAGAGGTGATGCCCCCAGTTTCAGGGAGGATTTGTACAGGCACATGCTGTGAGCACAGCTTGATGAACATCATTGTGGCCATCCTACCTGTACATGACCCTACCGAAGGGGCAGCTGCTACTTACGTGAGGCCATCGCCAGCTGCACCACCCAGATCCTTTTGGGCATGAAAATCTCTGCAGTGAGGTATCCAAGTTCACACATCTGCTTTCTCCTTATGTCTTCTTGGGACACACCAAGCTAAGACAGATGCTTCCAGCCAGAGCAGAGCCGGGCTTTACCCACCTCCAGGAGCATGTGCTGGCACGGAGTCATACAGGATCTGCCCAAGATGGGACCCAAAGCACCTCAGAGCCTCCCAGCATGAATGTGACCCTAAAATAAGGCCTGAGTTGTTCCTGTTTTCATCAGGGGATGGACACACAGCAAGAGAAAGGGACAGACCAGAACCTGCGCATGAGTCTCCTGCCTTCCTGATGACCCCAACACCATAGGGTTATCCTCTGCTGAAACCCTGGTCAGTGACCAGAAAGCTTGACATGGCTTGTTTCTGTTTCCACAGACCCCTAAGTCCCCCACAACTCTTGCCAGCTGCTGAACAGAAATAAATCAGACCTAAGCAGGGCGACATTTCCCAAAGCTGACAAGGCTGCTCCCAGGGCCAAGAGCATCATGCTGATATGGCTGCAGGAACAAGATGCACCTGCCAAAAGGATGAAGGGCAAAAGCCCAGAACTCTGGAGAATCAGCACATGCCAAGTCCTCTCCCTGTGCCAAAGCAAGTAATGTCACACAGATAATATCCCTGCTATTTCAAAGACACAGCAGCACCCACTGCCCTCTCTGTCAGTCTAGGAATTACTGACAAAGGTCCTGATTTATCTAGCTTGCTGCCCAGCTGCTTCAGGACTGAGATTTACTCTTCATGGCCTCCTATTTCACTGCTACCAATTTCAGGGATTCCTCCCAGTATTCCCATGAAGCCCCTGCAGCCAGGGAACCCGCAGCTGCTGCCTTGGCCAGCCAATGCCAAGGAGAACACCCCAGGAACAGGAGGCTTCACAGTCAGAAGCTGTTCTGGAAAAGCTGCCCCACCACATAAACCCAGCAACTGCTCCACCACCCCAGCAGCAGCCCACATCACTCACACTGCACAAAGAACACAACTCTGCAGCATTAACTCTGCAGCCAACTGATTTTCATCTTTTCTGTGCACGGACAAGATCATCCTGGGCTTAGTGAAACCATGCAAGGCATTGCATGGCCACAAACACACTGCAGTGCTACAGGGCGTACCATTTCCCCCATACAGGAGGGGAAAAGAAGAACAATTTTTGTACCATCTTCATTGAAGGGAAGAGAGCGCCCATTGCAGCCAGGACAGAGCAAAGCAAACAGCCAAGTGCCAGAGGCTTGCTTACACCAGGCACAGAGATATTCCTTTGCTACGCAAGGAAACACTGAGTAACAAGGAGAAAACATTTACAGAGGTTTCTGAATGATGTTGGTGAGTGAAGACTGGGAAGACAGGAAAAGAAAAGAAACCTACAAAACCAGAAAAGGCAAACCCATCAGCTGGTACCTCAGGACCAAGTAGCTGCCTTAGCAACAGCATGCCGGCACAGGGACTGAAAGGACCTCTTGAGGCACCCACCTCAGGTCTAAAATAACCCCACCAGACCATAAAAAACCCACCACAACTTCAGCTTTTCTAAAGGAGGCACAGGAGCCAGCAGTGGTGGGGGGTAAGAGCAGACCAAGGTTGCAATTACAGGGTAGAGCACCTGCAAGGCAAGGCCATACACAAACAGCCTGGTGTCACCGAGAGTGCCAGCTGTTGACTCCCTACAAACAGCCAGATTGCAGAGCATAAGGTTTTCAAACACCAGTCTGCAAAGCTACATATCTGAAGCAGCAACATTCCTAAATGCATGGCATTAGCAAAATAATAGCCCTCTGTCTCTCTTCGTTTAAAGGGCTGCCAGTCATTTATTAGCTGAAACACAGAGTCCCTTGAAAACTCATGCGCAGCACAGATGTGGTTTGCAAGGGACTGGGTTATTTCTCAGCTAGTGGAGCCCACAAGACACTGGTGGCTAAAAGTATAAAACAAAGATAACAGTGTTTCATCACAACTTTTCTAGGCTGTTTCATTCTTCTGCTAATCTCTCTGGCTGCAGCTGTCTCTGCCAACTCTGTTGAAAAAACTAAGCAGGAACAAATGCAGAGAACCTCTTGAAAGTATTAGCTGTCCAAGCTTGTTAACCGTGACTCAAGTTAACCACTACAATGCCGGGATGGCAGCAGAATTTGGCAGCGAGTCAGAGGCAATAGGAAACACAGAGCCCGCAAACGAGTAACTCTCCCCTGCTCCCTGAGCTGCCATCAGGAAACTCATCCCAACAGGACTCCATGCTGAGGAGCTGCTTAGGAGTCGTCATTTTTCCCAGCCCAAAACACACTAATTTCTTCTGGCAAGGGAAGAGAGGCAGTAAATAAATTGCTGAAAACCTCAGCCAGAGAGTTCATAAACCCTTCATAAAACAATAAGCAAAACCCCCTCATTTCCATGAGAAATTAATTTCTTATATTTGTTTTGCCTGCATGAATCGCCGAATGAAAATCACGTCGGACATGACACAGTAAGGATGCTGCGGAGCCAATGAACTGGACCGCACAGCATCAGTCCCCTCCTGCAGCTTCCCCCTCCCACACACTTGCCTCATGGAGCAGCGCACAGTTCCCTGCTCCATGCACACCTCAAGCTCTGAAAAGCTCACCTATCGATGTGTGAATTAGCAGTTTGGGATGAAAAAACACAGCCTGTGTTTGATTTTTTCGATTGCTTTTAATTCTGATGTAATAAGCCATGAAAAAAGCTTCCTCTGAAAAGAAAGGTGTGTCAAGTGTTGCCCTGAACTGACATTCTTTTCCCAATGGTCTCCAAAACGTTACAGTGTGGGTAAGAGTCACATCCTGTGAGCTGTATTTCAACCTCTGCTTTGTGTACTATACACGCACATCTGTAAGATTAGCGGTGACTACAGTAACATCTTCGAACACCAAATAAACAAAAATACTAGTTATGTATAGTTCTGGTGCTTTGTCATTAACAAGATCTGGCTTTAATTAATGAGAAGCAAAGACTGAGTCTCTCAACCTTGCCTTAAAACACAGTCGTGGCCTTTTTAAAACTGAACATCTCTGCAATCCTGCATGTCGGAACAAAGCGTGATAAGTTAAAGCCCCAAATCTGCCTTTCCTCTCACCATGTCATAGAAACAAAGGTGGGATTAACCTTCCCGAGAATCAGCAAGAAGGCAGTTACTGGTGAATAACTGTCAGTCACCAAAGGCTCTCAAAAAAGGTCTCAGTTTCTTGGAGATGTCCAGCAGAAAAACCACAGAAAAACCAGCTGGGCTGCATGAGCCGGTACCACCCCAGCCAGGCTTACCTGGCTGAACTCCTGCATTGCATGTGCTGCCTCCCCAGGGAG